CATAAAATCAGCCTAGCAGGATTTCTAAGCATGTGCCAGTAGAAGCCCTACCCGAAAATAAGCCCTAGTGCTGGGCGTGGCTATGAAAAGAAGCCCGAGTGGTGGGTGTGGCTATGAAAAGAAGCCTGAGTGGATGGGCGTGCTATGAAAATAAGCCGAGTGTGGGCGTGGCTATGAAAATAAGCCCTGGTGATGGGCGTGGTATGAAAATAAGCCCTAGTGATGGGCGTGGCTACGCAGCGCATCTGCACAACAACCATGCATGTCGTCGCGGAGCGGGAAAGAACACGAGCAGCCTTCTCATCTGCCCGTGACAGCCTAGTGCTCGACAGGAGAGATCGGGGCCAGTGGTTCTAAAGGAAATAGAGTCACAAGACATTCAGGATGGGATTCGGGTTTGGAGAGTGAGGATGATGTTCCAGAAGAAGACGACTTCACTCTATTTGAATCAATGTAGATGGTTGTACCGTACTTAAAAAAAAAATAACACATGCCCTGAAAATAAGCCCTAGGGTGTCTTCTTGAGGAAAAATAAATATAAGACCGTGTCTTATTTTAAGGGAAACACGGTATCTCTGCACCTTAAACAGCAAGAACTTTCTTTTCCATTCCAACACCAGTGGACATAGTTCCGCTCTCTAATTCTCTTTCTCCCCTTTTCCACAATTTACTCTTCTGATCTGGAAACAAAGGCTACCTCTTACCAATATCTTACCTTCCCAGCCAGACTTTTTCCTCCGTGGACATACTTAGTGTTTTCTTTTACCAAACATTAACTCGGAGTGGGGCAAAAACCAAGTCTGCTTTTTTTCTGAGTCTCCTAAGCAGTTTCTTTAGAGTCTATCTTCTTTTTTTTTTTTTTTTAAACGTTGGAAATCCTTCACTAACGAGTCGAATCCTGGTGTCACATGAGTGCCCGTCTTCTCCCAGCCACAAAGCCTGCCTCGTGGCTATTTAAACTAACACAGAGTGACCAAGTCTGGACACACATATTTAAAATATTCCATCTCTCTCTTTTAGGTGGTGCCCACCACACCCATTATGTAAGTATACACCCTTCCCCTCCCCCACCACCTGCCCACCACCTGATAAAAGTTTTTTTTTCTTTTTTGGCATTTTGGTTACCTTGTATATCTTTGCCTCTCCCTAAGAAGGGTCAGAGGCATTCCCTTCCCCCCCACAATGCTCCACACACCCCTAGGATGTGGGTCTCCCTCCCCCCCAAATCCCTGGTGGGCACTACCACCATTTGAACGCCACAGTGTTAATCAGTCAGTACCAATTTGATGGCGAGTACACGTGGAGCCCATTTTTCAGATCTTGTGTCCCCTCACTTTGGATAATGGGCTTAAGCTTAATGCAGGATAGCATAAACGGTGCCAGCTCGCTGTCCTTTCTTAGAATTGAGTGGTATTCCATCGTGAGCATGTACCACATTTTAATTACCCACCCCTGAAGATCTTTTTAAACTTAATTATTATTTCGTTGAATCTAAGACAACGCTGTTTACAGACACAGCACTATATTCTGTGTCGCTAAGAAACAAAACAGGGCAGTTAATTAAATCATGACACTCCCGTTCATGTGGCCCATCCTCACCTCAAAGGTGTTGAATTGAGAAAGATACCTGAATCTCAGGGTTGATGGATTGACCCACCAATTCGTGATGGGTGAAGGATGAAGTGTAACTTTCATTCTAATCTCATCATTTATTCTTTTTTATTTCTGACCTTTATTTTAAAAAAAAAATACCATTCTGTAGGAATAGGATAAGTTTAAAAAATTTTAGTCTGGAATGTTTTTGTATCGTGGGAATTCAGAGTCTCTGTATTTGTCAGTCTGATTCAAGAATCTGATGCTGATTTTTGTCTTAAAATTTCAGGGGCATCCCTTAGCTCTCGATCAAAATAAAAAAAAAAATAAACAGCGAAACAAATTGAACCTAAACTTTTGAGGGAGAAAAAAACCCTTTAAAACTTTATTGAAGTTACCCCCCTTTGCCCCGCCAAAATAATAAACCTGATTTGCCTTTACAAATGCAAGATTTCAAAAGATGTAGAAATGAAACATTCCACTTAGAACCTCAAAAGGCCAATTTTGGGGTAGAGGCTGAAGGCCAGCATGGCTCAAACGATCTCCTGTCCTAATACCCTACACGTCTTATTATCATCAGACATTTTGACACAATGAGAAATTGCACTAATTATTCTTCCTACCTTCGGAGACAGGGTAACCAGACTCTAGCTACCAGCAGAAAGCAGAGGGCCCAGATATAAAATCTTCCAAATATTGTTGCAAAAAGACAATCATTACTCTTGCTTACTCTTGCTGCCTTCAAGATATTGCTGTTTACCACCCAATCTTGGGTAAGCCAATAATCTTTAATCACGCGGATCATGTTTTTCCATCCACCATTGGGTCCAAATTGTACAAATCGAATTTTACCCACGCAGCACCCCGTCTTGCCTGCTTTTATAATTCATTTCTACAAATCAAACCAGGATATTAGAAGGCTGGCCACAGACCATTACATAACTGTGTTTACTTGCATTTTCTGCAGAGGTGACTTGAGTTTTCTAAGCAATGTTTTGAACAGGTGAGGGTTTTTTTTTTTTTTTTTTCTGGGGAGGCATTCTGATAATCCTATTACCTTATGTTCATAAAATCCCCCAGGGTTTAAATCTAATCATCCCAGCTTTGTAAGCAAGTTTAGGTTTCCCAGCAAGATCACACATACGATGCTAGATTGAAACACACTCTGTGTTTACCAATAAAGAGCAAAAGATTTTTTTTTTTAAATTGTCTTTTTTTTGTGTGAATAAATTGGCCTTTAAAATGAGCGTCATTTGCATGTTCTGAACTTAATATTCAAGGGGAATACAAAGAGTTAAGTAGAGACCGAGGAACATAAAGAAAAACAACATATGACTTTTGAGTTGGTCAAAAAAAAGAGAAAAAAAAAAGATAAATAATTATTTTTTTTAAATAAAAGAAAAAAATAAAAATAATAGAGCAAGAATGTCTACTGGAAGACAAGCTAATTATCGTGGTATCTTAAATAATGTCAGCTGCAGGCTTTGACATGAATTGAACAGCTCCAAAAATAAAAGGGCTGGAAATTAACAGATGACAATGGTCACTCAGAGAAACCAAGAGGAAGGATGACCAGGAAATACTGCCTTGAATATGCTCCCTTAAGGAAGCCAGAGGAGGGACTAGCTCTGCCTGGGTTCAGAGTCTTTGACTGTTCAATTAAAACAAACACACAAACCCAAATCCGTGTTTCCTTATGATAAAAAGCCCCCAGAGCAACAAGGCCACTGTGCTGGGGACAGATCTGCCACGATTCACATTTTTGTCACCCGGAATATTGGGATGGACGACCATGATGCCAGCTCAGGGCAGGTAAGCCAAATTCAGGTTTCTGGAGGAATTTTCCATCCGTCATGTTGAATTGGAGGATTGCTCAAATCCTCCCCTAGCTGTGTTTGCTCCTGGCTCTGGAAGACTCAGTTCTGGCTGTAGGCTCTGCCCACTTTTTGAGAACCTAATTTCCCACCCATCCTCAGGAGTTATCTGCTTGCTGCTCCAGAAATCCAGCAAAACCTCGTTGAATCAGATCCATGGAGAGAAAGATGAGCATTAAATACAGAATGTTTTAAGAGAAATCGTGCCTCCTTAACTTTGAAGCTTGCCCCTTCCACCAGGCTGAGAAAATGCACAAGGGTGGGAGTTAGGAGGTGACTCTAAGCACTAGCTATGGATGGCTTTGGTGCACACGTCCCCAGTGTTTATAGGTAAACAGAGGTTTTTAAAGTTCCTGCTTCAAATTCTACAGGGCAACTCTCACACCCAGTTCCTGCCTAGCTTGAGGAGATGTTTGGAATGAGTGGAGTCTCATTGGAATCGGTAACTTGGGTTCTCCCCATCTCATACGCACATCATGCTCATGCAAATAAAATATTACTCTTGAGAGTCTCTTCCAGGGGTCCTCAAACCACGGCCCGAGGGCCACATGCGGCCCGGCCGAGGACATTTATCCGGCCCGCCGGGTGTTTTTGCCGCCGCTGCCTGTCCTGCTTAGCAGCCGACTCGTCCCGGGCCCACAGTGCGCACTCTCCAACGGTCTGGGGGACGGTGACCTGGCCCCCCTATTTCAAAAGTTTGGGGACCCCTGTCTATTCGATTCGAGACCCCTGCAAAGCACTTGGCATTCACGATTTGCATTAAATCTTCATAAGAACCGTACGAAGTAGGCTCAGGGAGGTTAAACAAAATCACCCAAGGCCACATGGCTAGGAAAATGACAGAGAACTCTCCCTCCTGTCACCCGCCTCTGTTGCAAACAGTCAAATGGGCCAAGAAATATTTTCTCTGCAGACAGCTCTTCCTTCTAGAACCTCCGGGGTACATTCAGACTCATTCCCTGCCGGGTGACAACGGCCAGTTTTAGTGCAGTCTGAATGAGTGTTTTTTGTTTGTCTTTTTTTATAAAATTACTTTTACTTTTTCTTTTTTTTTTCTTTGTAAGCATGAGGTGCTTGAGGTGTTTGTTGAACGAGTGGTTCTTTTTTTTTTTTTTTCTATTTTTTTTTATCTTAATACTCCTTTTTTTTTTTTTTTGGATGCATATAGGCGATTGTGTGAATAGAATGAGTGGTTTTCCACATGGCGATTAACAAATGCAATGCCATCCGTGAAGTCTTGAGGGGCGGTGCGTGCTAGGTCTGACACCGTGCCCTCTTCGCATGCATCCTCAGAACCACCCGATCAGAGACATTTTGCAAAGCTCCAAGGGCTGAAGGCACCTGCCCAAGGTCGCACTGTTCGTTGAGCGCCCTGACTATGCAGGCAGAGGTTCCTCCCTCCCAGGCCCTGAGCTGCCCTCTGCAAAACCCAGGCCATGCAGAGAAACAAGCAAGCACACAGCTGGTGCCAGCCGCCACGTGGCTGAAGGTAAGGAAGCAGTGTGGGGGGGGACAAGGGGCGCTCACCTGGCTCAGGCGCCAGCCTTCCACTTGGGGCATCTTCCTCCTCGGCACCTCCTGTGCCCAGGTGGCTTAGGAAGGTGTTTGCAGTGATCAATTTCCAAACGGCTTCCGTCTTTCGCCAGGCAGTGAACGTTTCTTTGCTTATGGCCCCGGCCGCAAGACACAGAGCACTGCAACACAAAGCAACGCAAGGTGGTTGTTGTGGTTGTTTTTTTAATCACATGGAGGTTTTTTTTTGGAGAATTATTTTTTTTTATTTCAGCATTATTATGCAGGTACATATTTTAAGGTTTCAAATAATGCCCTTGCCACCCATCCCCCCACAAGTCTGAGCTTGAAGTGTGACCATCCCCCAGATGGTGCACATCTCACTATTATGGTGTCTATACCCCCCTTCTCTCCCCCCTCCACCTGCCAACACCCATTAATGTCGTTCCTATGGTGCCACTTAGGTGCGCTCAGTTAATACCAGTTTGCTGGTGAGTCCATGTGGTGCTTGTTTTTCCATTCTTGGGAAACTTCCCTTAGTAGAATGGGTTCCAGCTCTATCCGGGAATATACAAGAGGTGCCGAATCACCGTTGTTTCTTAGAGCTGAGTAGTGCTCCATGGTGTCCATATACCACATTTTATTAATCCACTCATGAATTGATGGGCACTTTACCCAAAAGATCCAATGATACTCTACAGAAAAGACACCTGCACTCGAATGTTTACAGCAGCACAATTCACAATTGCAAAGCAGTGGAAACAACCCACAAAAAACCCCGGCATCGTGAGATGTTCAGACAATTTGCCTAACAAGTTACTGTTCTCTTTTCCAGCTCCATTTTGGACTACAACTCAAGGCTCAATAGGGAAGAAAGATGGCAATGGGTGAAAAAAATGTCCCTGGGAATTACAGCAGCAGTCCTGTAAGGCATTTGGGCTCACTCAACGGTGTGTATAAATCCTGATAATTTAGGCAAAAAAAAAACAAAACACATTCATGAACCCGAAATTATCAGGAAATTCTGATTTCAGGAAGTCCTTACTGTGAAATAGTAAGATTATTTCTTCAACAACAAAATGCCTTGTGATTCACTAATTGGGATAAAAGTGCACCATTAAGTGATTTCAGGAAATGCTTCAACCGTTTTTCCAGAGGAAAAAAAACTCTCGTTCTCCCAGTCCATGGGGAAGAGGTAAAAAAAGGCACGTTTGGAAACTGGCAGGTAACCAAGCAGGTAGGTCCCTGCCAACCCTGGGAGGAAGGCATTATTGCCTTTCAACTTTGATCTGCAGGCTCACTCGACTGTTTTAAATGTGACCTTGTCTGACCCCATCTAAGAAACTTGACTTTGATTTCAGATTAGGTTTCTCAGAAAGGTTTAGGAATCAAAGTGCCCACGGAGTCAGGACAAAAATTTGGTATGACAGCTTCTTGTGGAACAGGCAAGGGGCCGGCCCCAACGGGGGCACTGAGATACTCGACGTCCATTGCCTCATTAGCGATTGCAGAAGTCGTTGCCACTGGGACCCTAAGCTGCTGGCCCCGGCTCTGAGGACACACTGCTTCCTAACATAATGCTCTTGGCTTTTCAGAGGGAAATGAGTTTTAAGAAGGAAGAACAAGATGTGAAAACGCAATGAAAACACATTTCAAGTGTCACTTCCTTCTGGTCAGTATTTTTTATATTCCTCATTAACTTTGTGATTTTTGTTAACTGGAATTACCAGCGTGCCCTTTTATGCCTAATATACAAATAGCGCCACGTGAAACATGTAGCCTGATATTAATTCCATTGCTACGACCAGGCGTGTTCAAAGTGACACCATTCATAAAAGTGCCAAAGATGTTTTTCTAGTAAACACAAGCCATTATAAAAAGTTCAATAGTAGCTGATAGGGAAATTTAAAATATATATTTAAAATATTATATATAAAATATATAGTAATACACTTGGCTTTAACTTTTTCACTTTAGGAGATAGAAACATTGCTGTTTCCATTTGCACTCTCATCTTATGAATATTATGATGTGGTGTAGTCATTCTGAACATCTTAATAGAGTTTGCAGTCTGGAAGGAAGGAGCCCGATTTGAGTATCTATACCAAAATAAAAATATCCGGCATTGAACCTAAAGTGTTTTGATGCATATACAGGCTTTGGGATACAATTATAGAAGGCTTTTCGAATGAGGTTCCTGGATAGACCCTACAAATCTCTGAGAGTGGTTTAATGACTTGCACACAGATATTTTCAATTATAAGCGACCGATTTTGATATTTTAAAATGTTACTTTGATAAGAAGATAATATAAAGGCACAATTAGAATTTGGGATGAGCTCATTTGTTTGTTAAACTTTTTCTGGGGGGGGGGGCGACAGAGTCTCGCTCTGTCACCCTGGGTAGAGTCCAGTGGCATCATCGTAGCTCACTGCAAGTTTGGACTCCTGGGCTCAAGCAATCCTCCTGCCCCAGCCTCCCGAGTATCTGAGACTACAGGCATGCGCCACCACGCCCGGCTAATTTTTCTGTTTTTAGTAGAGACGGGGGTCTCACTCTTGCTCAGGCTGGTCTTAAAACTCCTGACCTCAAGCAATCCTCCCGCCCCAGCCCGACTGCTAGGATTGCAGGCATGAGCCAGCACCTGGCCTGTGTGTTCAATATTTATTGAGCAACTACTATGTTCCAAAAATTATAAAAAGTACTAGGAATACAGTGATGAACAAAACTCACATAGCCTCTGCCCTCATGGAACTTATATGGAACACAGGGAAACTGACATTAATTAAATGATGACAAAAATAGGCTGGGTGGGGTGGCTCACACCTGTAATCCCAGCACTTTGGGAGGCTAAGGCAGGAGGACTGATTGAGGCCAGGAGTTCAAGACCAGCCTGGGCAACACAGCGAGACCCTGTCTCTACAAAAAAATAAAAAATTAGCCTTTCATGTGGTGGCTTGTGCCTGTAGTCCCAGCTACTTAGGAGGCCAAGGCAGGAGGATCGCTTGAGGCCAGGAGGTGGAGGTTGCGGTGAGCTGTGATTGCAACCCTGCACTCTAGTCTGGGTAACAGAGCAAGAACCTGTCTCTTAAAGACACACACACACACAATGATTATTCATTGAGATGAGTCGTATGAAACAAACAGGCTGGGATGGTTCCTTCTAGCAAGAGGCCCCCCTGAGGCTGGCATTCCCCGGGGTCAGGCCAGCAGAGCTCACAGCCCATAATGATGAGTTTGGATTTCCTTCTGCACGAGACGGAAAATCACAGAAGAGTTTTCAGTTAAAGTAAGACATGATCTGACTCTTGTTTCAAAAAATTTTACTTTGCCTACTGCATGCAGACTGGCTGGGAACACCGTGTAAATGCAAACAAGAAAACTGCTCACTGGCTGGGCGCGGTGGCTCCCGCCTGTCATGTGGCCATGACAGTGGCCAGCACTCTGGGAGGCCGAGGCGGGAGGATCGCTCGAGGTCAGGAGTTCGAAACCAGCTTGAGCAAGAGCGAGACCCCCCGTCTCTACTAAAAATAGAAAGAAATGAATTGGCCAACTAAAAACATATAGAAAAAATTAGCCGGGCATGGTGGCGCATGTCTGTAGTCCCCAGCTACTCGGGAGGCTGAGGCAGGAGGATCGCTTGAGCCCAGGAGTTGGAGGCTGCTGTGAGCGAGGCTGACGCCATGGCACTCACTCTAGCCTGGGCAACAGAGTGAGACTCTGTCTCAAAAAAAAAAAAAAAAAGGAAAAGGAAAAGAAAACTCCCCCAGAAGCTGAGATATTTGACTAAGCAGGAGGCGATCGATGGTGGCTTGGGTTAGGGCGCAGAGCATCCAGGGAGGGGGGACGTGGGTGGGTTCGAGGCTTGTGTTGTGTGTTTAGGTCGAAATGCCAGCTTGGCTGTGGGGGGGGAGGGGAGAGGGTCGTACCAGGGATGGCTTTTCCGGTTCCTGGTTTGGGCGCCTGGACAGATGGCCCCAACACTTACAGAGATGGGGAAGATTGGAAAAAACAGCGCTGGGAGTCAAAGACAGATTTATTTCTAGGAAATGGGTTGGACTTAAAGAGTATGGAATCCCGGGTGGTAATGCCTGCTTGGTTAGGAGGAAGAAACACAGTTGTCTTAGAGTAATCAAGTGAACAAGGCAAGACTTGACATCGGTAGGGACAGTCACTTCGATACACAAACAGTCCCTTCATAGGGGGAGCAAAAAGAGAGTTGACGGAAATACTAATTTAGTGATCAGTTGTGGTCATGAAAAGACACAGCCTAAAAGTAAGCAATGTATAGAGGCAGAATTAGAAAAGCCACAACGCATTTATATCATATGCCAGACACTGTCTGAAGACTTTATATACATCATCTCATTTAATCACCCAACAACCCGGTGAAACTCAATCGCAGAGACAGGGACTATTATTGGAGACCATTTGGTCTTTTCAAAACGACCTGACCACAATAACTTTGTGTTCTGCTTCCCACGTGACTTTGGCACAAGTGGACACGTATATCCGTTGGGAAAAGTCACAGCAGAAGGAAAAACGGTCAAGTTAGTGACAACCTCCCTGATAATTTAGCTGAGGTGCAACCAACATGGGTGGCTCATGAAATGAAGAAGGAGTCATTTTTCAATATGATGCCTTGAAATCTTTCTAGTATCTTTCTGATATCCGGATTAGCTGCATCTGAGCCACGCCTAGGTGTGTTTTTATTATTTGGAGACTTGAATGAGACTGACTTGGAAAAAAAGAATGCAAAACTTCAGCACGACTCACTGTACAAATGATCTGCCTAATGTTGTTAAGATCTGCAAAAAAAAAAAAGCCATTGGGAAATTCTCAAGGTGCCTCATCTGCTAGGAAACACTCTTCGTTTATTGCTAACTTACCAAAATGAAGGAAAAACAGCTGCTGAAATCTAGCAGGTTAATTAATGGATCTGTTATGACTTTATAATGGAGCTGTCATTTGGACGATCAAATAAACACACGTTTCAGCTTTTATATTCTAAGGGAAATTTCTGCCTGATCTTTCCCAGCTTTTTCCCAGGCACTCAATTTTACATCAACGTGCGTCACTGAGATGTGACAGTAAAAGGGAGTGCGTCACTTCGTGCATGTTATTTATTGGCTGCGTATCTGAGAGTTCTTGCTCTCGGGAACATTTAATTCCTTAAATTTGC